TAAGGTGCCTTGTTACTAGTAGTGGCAATGCACTTGTTACTAGTAGCTTCCTAGTAATAATGCCAAGAGCTACTAGTAGCTTCTTGCTACTAGTAGTAAGGTGCCTTGTTTCTAGTAGCGTTGCACTTGTTACTAGTAGCTTCTTGCTACTAGTAGTAAGGTGCCTTGTTACTAGTAGTGGTGCACTTGTTACTAGTAGCTTCCTAGTAATAATGCCAAGAGCTACTAGTAGCTTCTTGCTACTAGTAGTAAGGTGCCTTGTTTCTAGTAGCGATGCACGTGTATCTAATAACTTCTTCTTACTAATCGTTGAAGAAGTGAAACGACTTGGTTTCTGTGGAACTTAACGTCTTAGACTTCGCCTCCAAGAGCGGCGACTTGGTGAGAGGATCTGATAGAGCCACTTCATCAATAGGAATCCGCGTGTATCCGCGGAAGCCATACCTGGCAGACCGGTTTGGACGTACAGTTTTTGAAGTGGAAAAGCACAAGAAATGTGTTATGAAGTGGAAAAGTGTGAAATCAAAAGAGCTCCTGCCCTGGGATTGCATGGCAAACAAGCAACTACGCGTGGAAGTGAAGTATCTCGAGGGGCACCTCTCAATCAATGGAATCTTGCGGATCATCTCAACATTCGGAGAAATTTTTCCTGGCACATTGTTTGTGTGGCACTTTGCTCAGCCAGCAACATGTCTGCGTGCGCGTTCCTTTTTTTGAAAAGCAAACTAACTACTAACAAGTGTTTCAACTTTCAATGTAGATATACGTACTAATACATTCTATCCCGGTCCTTTGAAGTTGTGAACGTTGGGCTTGTTGCCCCAGGAAACCTGCTGCCAAGCCAAGTGCAAGTGCGATGCATTGACTTACAAACGCGCGATGCCTTCTGAATAAATCCAGAGTTTCCATCGCTAAGCCATCGCTCTTAGGTTGGAGGCCATCGAAGAGTTCCCCCCGACCAATTCAGGACAACTCAGTCAGGAGTCAGGATAGTCTCCAGCCTCATGTGGGCCATCATATTTCCATCCCTCTGGCGCCTGCAGGAAGACACACAGAGAACACGCAAACCGAGAGTGAAGGTCACAGACAACACCTGTGTCAAAGACCGTCTTGATACTCTTCGATGGTGATCATAAGTTATCCTGTTACCTGTCTGTCATAGAAATAGTCCTGTCCGTCGTAGTAGTAGTTGTGATTGTAGTCTCTATCAATTCAGCCAACTACAGCAAATGAGTCAATAGCTGATTCTCTAGTTCAACTGCCTCTAGTTTATTGATTCATTATGATTTATTGATATTCTCCAATGCACATATGCACAAGAGTATCCACATATATTCACCAGATCTGTGTGGCTTTCAGGCTGTCCTCTGGACCGGACATGGGATCGATTCGCCACTCCCACTCGCCCTTCTTGGTGAACTGGCCGGTCCTCGTCTCGCATTGTCACGAAAAAAAAACAATTCAAAGGGAACGTGATGGACATCCAACCTATTAGCGATGGTCTCCAACCTAGCAGCGATGGCCTCCAACCTAGAAGCACTCGATATCACTTGGTCAAACGCGATTGGGACCTTTGTGTGGACCTTTCAATCTCAGAAAAGCTTTTGTGCAGGTCACTCCAAGGCCCAGCTTAGCATGAGCCAAAAAGAGATGTGCTAATGCCGGCGATCCCCAACAGTATCCCTGCGTTACCAACAAACAAAGTTGAAAGCACAGCCTAAATTCTCCAAGGCCCAGCCTGGCCATGTCATATATAATATACCTTGAATTAAAACTGAAAAACTCATTATATAAAACCGTGCACATGCTGAGTTTGTTACACGATATTCATGTTCTTTCTGTCTCACGATGCCTCCGAATGATGCCCGCGATATCGAGCAAGTTGGCCACCTGATCTGTGGGTTGAGCGCCCTTCCTGCACAGAAAAGCCGAGACATGTGACGCACGATCAAGCAGAAAGACAGGAGATGCCGTGAGAGATACCTGCAAATCATTGTAGAACCAAACGTGTACAGCCGCTGAGTTCTGCAGATCTCATAAGCATTGCCCTTGCATACATGCTAAAATGTGCGAACATTTAAACTTGCTATCAACTGAACATAGCTGAGCGAACAGTACAATTAACATCCATGAACAAGTTTTACGGCCCTACCAAACCAAGTCTTACCGCAAATTGTGGGTTTATGAGAGAAGTGGCCAAGGCAAATTCATGTTACAGTGATCCAAACATATCCCAGCCTCAGCCAATAGGTGCAGCGATCAGCTCTAATCGTGAATGCTCTTGGATCTTCGAACTGCGGACGAGGTGGGAAAACTCGTGGATACCACTGGGATAGGAAGGAAGGGGTTGCAAGGGGTTGCTTCAGATGAAAAGCAATCAGAAGTGCTACTCGACGCACTTGTGGAGATGAGATCTGAACATTTGATGTCCCGCTGTTCTGTTGGTCCTTGCCTCTCGCAAAGGGTCATAAAAGCCACAGATCTCGTTGAAACGTCCACTCCTGGGAAGAAGGCAAGGAACTGCATTTCAACCCATTGCAAGACTCTGCAGCTGCGATCAACGCTAATAAAGTTGCCCACAGCAAGACACAGCAACCCATTACCCAAAGCATTGCAATATTGCAGTGGTCCATTGGCTTTGATATTCTGATGGTTCTATGTCCCACCATCCGAACGTCTGCAAGCCAAGCATCCTGGGACCCAATTGCTTTCCCCAAACCGCCTGGTGAGGCATAGATCGACGGAGTCCGGTGTTCCTTTCCGTTCGGCCGATCTAGTTGGTAGACTTGGTAGACCTTCCGGAAGGAACGCCTTCGCCGGGTCGGTGACTTTCTCGAAGAAGCGACAGGATTGAAGTTGGTCGATTGGATTCAATGGTCGATTGGATGGTCGATGGTCTGGATCTTCCGAAGAGGGCAACGAACCGACACCGGCCAGCCAACGGGAGGGTAGGACCGGGAAGAGAACAAGCTATGCTGTGCTGACCTCATTTCATCAACTATCTACATGGCTATCTACATTGTCTCATAATTTGTGTTGTTGCGTTTAGCACTCTAATCTGTCCTGTCATTTATTGCCTATCACGACACTCCCCACCAAGGTCTATAAACTGGTGTCATGCGGCTTGGAAAGCCCGTGCCAAGACTCTCTAGTTGTTCGATGTTCTTCGTCTTTGCGGGTTGCTGTTTTTCCATTCTGCATCTCAGGGCAAGCTGGTCAGCCACTGTCTTGTGAAGACCTCAGAACAAAGCACTCGCACGGCAGCTCCAACATCCACGGACACAGCAGGCCTTAATTTCACGCGGTGAGAAACCGAGAGATCGTGAGAGCCCAGGAAATGCCACTCCCATCGCCCATCGAAGCGAAGCAAAGAAAGCTCCAATCGGGGGATGCCGCGCTTGTGGTCGAAGTGCAAGAGCAGCACTAGTCGATGTTGCTCAGGGTCCAAAGAAAGGGGTAATAAAGGAGAACTGCCATTAATGGGCTCTACACCTTTTCGGCTCACTTCCCATCCCCAGGAAGGGCACTTGGAGGTACCCAACAAAGAGTTCGTCTTCAAGGTTTCATCTGCCACACCCACGAGCAGCATGCCTTTCAGTTGGATCACCTCCAACATCCATCGGACGGGACGCTCAAACACTGATGTTTGGCTCAGCGATCGCCGCACACCTCGATCTGCTTGGACCGTTTTGCCTCCAATTTCTCTGATCTGCACGGAGCCCAGCAAGGTGTCCCAGCCATCCTCACCCGAGGCCAAGCAGCTCGCGCCAACCCAGGCGAAGCTCAAAAGCTCTGCATCCAAGAAATGACACGCCCGTAGGCCTAAAAGAGCACTCAAAGACCGCTCACTGTCCTGCCATGGACGAATGGCGATGGCCTCCAACCTATATACCTAAAAGAGCACTCAAAGAGCACCCAGTGTCCTGCCATGGACGAATAATTAATTAGTGATGGCCTCCAACCTAAATTACTAGCGATGGCCTCCAACCTAGGCCTAAAAGAGCACTCAAAGAGAACTCATTGTCCTGCCATGGGCGAATTCTTAGCTGCCGTGAGATGCTGCGAAGGATTGCTAGGTCAAGTGGACTGAGATGCAACAGAAGTTCTCTCCAAATCTCCTCCTGCAATGCGGTGAGGTGATCAGCCCGAGTCGCTCGCTCCTGCTGCTCCAGCTTTCGGTCCAGTGGAGCCGGCAGGCACGGGAAGCAGGATAGCCATGGCAAGTGGTGCCAGGACATTTGGACGCGCTGCATATGTCGAGTAATTGGTCCCCTTTCAGTATGCGGATGGGAGAAAATGGGAGGGTAGGTGCCATCATGCCATGTGGAATTGACGGTCTTTTTTTCATTCCAGATGGCATGATTCTCATCTAATTACTATTGCTGTATGCAGTATCCGCTTGCCCGTCTATGAATCAAAGGCTGACAGGTAGGCAGTAGATGGCAGTAGGCTAGCTACTTGCATGTTTCAAAAACCTTCAAATACGCATTGAAGGTGCATAGAAGCTTGAGGAAGCTTGATCGAGCCAAATGGCTTAGGATGGCTTAGGAGACAACAAGCAACGCGTGGCTCTATAGCTATCACATGCTATTACTGGCTATCACAGAAAAGCTCGCAGTGACTTGCATACCCCAAGTCGGCGTCCGCAAGGGCCCCCAACATGGATGCGGTAGAAGGGCTTGTGCTTGCTGCCCCACCTAGCCAGACCTCACAAGGTCCAGGTCCAAGGGACAAGGTCGTCCAGACCTTCACATGCTCGGCCATGCTGCTCGGCCATGCTTTAACTGGTTTGAATGATTAACAAGCTCCCAGCGAAGACGCAATCCCCTCATGTTCTTGCGCTTGTACACAAAGCCTTGGCGTTTTCCACATCACTGCTCACCATCAAGGCATCTTGTGTAACTGTCTTCATGTGTAAGAGTACAATTGCCCCAAACCTGCAATCATCTTGAAGGGGTTCCTAAACAGAATTGATTTGCAGGTCAGAATGCAAAGCAACGTGAAGGCTATCTACAACTGCACGACAGTACTTAGAGTAGACGCTGAGGAAACCTGGGACCTGGCCTTCATAGCGAGGATATCTTGAGCTGCCCTTCCACCTGCAAAAGGAAGTTCCAGGCTTCATCTACATGCATCGACACTGGCTCTTTCGTTCATCGTGCCCTTGGGTTTAATTAAGATCTGTTTTGATCACCAAGACTATCCCCTTTAACACGATTAGCAAGGACGCTATTAGGTGGAGGTCATCGCAAGTAGGTTGGAGGCCATGGCTACTAGAACAAGAAGCAACTAGTAACAAACAAAGCAAATGAAACACTAACACATCATGGTCTGGTGCCTTCGACCTTCGGTCTCAGAGCGGCATGCAACGAGCGACCTCGGATGTGAAAAGAAGGCGTTCGTAATGCCAATTGTTTGGAGCTTCTTTATGGCTAAGGCATTAAGGAGTAGTGAACCAAAAATCCAGGTCAAAGCTTTGTTGCGCCTCGTGGCTCGAATCGAGTGCCGCTTGAGCCCGGACTCATCGGAAGCACCCCGGGAGACACAAAGTCCGCTGGGACGTGGCTGCCTTGGTCGGGATCAGAGCGCAGCTATATGGTTCGATGTTCCAAGCCAGGAGAACGTTTGGACTGAATTCTTTGGAAGCCATTGCTCTTGGGTTGGAGGCCATCGCTCTTAGGTTGGAGGCCATCGCTCCTGGGTTGGAAGCCATCGCTCTAGGTTGGAGAACATCGCTCTTAAGTTGGAGGCCATCGCTCTCAGCTTGGAGAACATCGCTCTT